GAGCAGCGCGCCGCCGGCCGCAAGAAGAAGACGCGCACCGTCTTCAGCCGCAGCCAGGTCTTCCAGCTGGAGTCCACCTTCGACGTGAAGCGCTACCTGAGCAGCTCGGAGCGCGCCGGCCTGGCCGCCTCGCTGCACCTCACCGAGACCCAGGTGAAGATCTGGTTCCAGAACCGCCGCAACAAGTGGAAAAGACAGCTGGCCGCCGACCTGGAGGCGGCCAACATCTCCCACTCGGCCCAAAGGATAGTGAGGGTCCCCATCCTGTACCACGAGAACTCTCCGGCGAGCGCCCTGGGCTTCGCCTTGCCTCACATGTCGCCCCCCTTGGTGGGCTTTTCTAACGCTGTCAGTTACCCCCTGGGCAGCTTCCCCGCCGCCTCCCTCCCCTTCCTACGGTCGCAGATGACAGGACTCGTTTGAATGCCCACCTGTGCCGGGATCGCTGTCCCCTCGTCCTCTCGCCAGGCTTCCAGCTCCACCCCACTTCCTCCCCAAACGGTGTATTTCCACTTAAACGTTTCTCGAATTTCTGCTTTTTGACTTTTTTAAACGTGCAATAAACTTACTTTGGGGTAACTCGAAACAGAAAAAAAAAAAAACACAGCAGAAGGAAAGAAAGGAAAAGGACTACAAGGACCGTAGGGACGAGCAGAGAGCTGGTCCGCCGGGGTCTCTGCCTGTCACACATCCAAAGAAAATGCAGTCTCGTGGCAAAGACGGGGTCCCTGCCTCCCCGCACGCTGCACGCCGCAGGAGCGACAACCCGGTGGCACCCCCTCGGGTTGCAGAAACTTTCCTTTCCCGTGGGCTCACAGCAGACCCACAGCCAAATCCTGCCCCGCAGAGCTGGGTCGGGCCCCGCCGCTACCGCTGGGATCAGCCCGTCCCTTCGCGAGCTGCCGCGGATCCCGCTGCCAGCAGCTCCTCCAGCGCCCTTTGTTTGAGCCTTTCGGCCCGTACAGATTTCCACCCCCCCCTTCGGTGACCATCCATGTTATTTTCACACGATCAATACCCGAGCATGGGCTGATGCCCCGTGGTCCTCAAAGCAGCCTTCTTGATTTGACACAACGTGAAGGCAGATTGTGCAGATGAATTCGCCCCGCTGAAATCAGAGCTGTAAGGATTTTGTTTCTTTGTTTTCGTTTTATTTCCCTAACAAACTATCAACTGAAATTCACGGTGGGAAAAAAAAATCTGCATACGGTGTTTTAACAGCTGGATTTGCCACGTATGTGGGTCTCCTGACGAGGCTGAGGAAAAATACCTCTCAGTTTTTCTATCTCTTACGGGATCGGTTTATGTAATCGACTGATAGTCCGCACTGGCAATTAAAAAAGAAAGCAAGAAAAATAGTCAGGTGGCGACAGGCTGGGGAGTTGTATGGCTAGTTATGCAAGCTAAACTGTAATGAGATATTATATCAAGTATTATGCATGCTAAGCTATTTTTCCTTAATAACTATTTTATTTCCCCCTCTCTATCCACTGTTAAAATGAATACCGGGTAAATTATTATTTCTAAAGGTTTGAATTACTTTAACTGAATATTAAGGGAAAAAAAATGACCTTATAAAACACAGCCTTGTTGGAAGGTACGTTTTAGGGAAAATCAGATGCAATTTAACAGACCAGCTTGGAGCAGGGAAAGCTAGATCGTGGATCTGTTGGGGTGCATGCATGCGGACCTTTCCCCAGTGAAGAAAAAGAAATCTAATTATTACTATTTCCTATGGTTTGAATTATATTTGGAGCAATTTCATGCTTTCCTGTTATGAAATCGGTCAGCGAGATACAACGGAGCTTAAGCTTTGATGCAAAATGTGAAAGAAGGTGCAGTGACGGATTACAACGTCTCAATAGCTTTTTTTGCTTCGGCCTGAAACTCGGCTCTGGGCATCAGCCTGCAGAGTTGAAGTCAGGACCCTGAAAGCCTCAAAATCACTCAAGAACGAATACATACACACACACACACACACATATATATATATGTGTGTGTGTGTGTGTGTGTATATACATATATATGTGTGTGTATATGTATGTATATTCCGAGTTCGTGAGAAAAGTTCCAACTTGTCGGGACGCTCGTTTCGGCTTGGAAAGACAAACAGTTGGGAGCTGTATTTCAACTACTCTGAAAAAAAAAACCACCCACAAACCCTGTCTGACACCAGGAGACCTTCGCCAGCTGTTTTGCTTGCATATCAGTTAAATATCCACCTTTGGGGCGAAAGCTTCTAAAATCTGGTGATCCGTTACCGGAAAGTGCAACAAGGACTGGGGGGAGCGGTGAAGTTTGGGATCGCAGCCTGCCGGTGCCTCAAACAGCCTCCGGCAGCTGCGGCGAGCTCAGCCCGGGGCTCACTTTCGCCTCTCGGTGCGCCAGGGATGTGACTTCGGGCAGGGTTTCCTCCTCCCTGTGCCCAGCACCTGAGCTGACACCTTTCAGAGCGCTGTTGTTACGTCTGGAAAATAACGTCCAGGTCATTTCCCCCGTCATATCCAACCCTACGGATCTCCCAGCGTTTCTTACTGGAGTGAAATTCCGACTCGCATCAACCATATCAGAGTAGATTGTAATCCAACGCGAAACTTCACACGCCTGCCACTCTCCACATGCCTTTTCTTTGGAGTAACGTATGAGATTATCATCCTTCTGATTCTACTAAATATTCTTTTCTTGAAGTTAAGGAACTGGTAGGGCTAAATGATCAATCGGATTTTTAAAATGTGTTTTGACATTAGTTTGTTTGTTTTTTAAAGACGTGCTGATTATATCAATAAACAGATTTTTTTTTTCATACACTGTATTTGTAACTTATGATCATAGCAAAATATTAAAAGGTACAAGACGTGAATTCATCTAAGAAAAAGTGCTTACTTATGCCTTATTCTGTACATGCAGGGACTGCCTTATAGTGAATTATTAAAAGTATGTACTAAAAGTGGGAACAAATATGCACCTCAGGTTTCTTTAACTCATAGCTTTTTTAATGGTCCTCTTCACTGTTGCTGAGATGCTGAGGACCTCTTCACAATGTTGCTGTTCAAGAGCATTCTGCAGGATTCAGAGAAATACCTAGCAGAAGACGTAGTCACTGAAAAACTAACATTTATATTCATGAATGTACTTTGACCGCTTTAATGCAGGCCAAAAAAAATTCACAAATCAAGACAACCTATTTCTCGCAGTTTTATTCCCTGTATATATTTTTACTAAACAAATTAAAGAGGTAAGAGTCACGCTTTGTATTTCTGCAAATAGAATGTTTTGGGAAGAAACATGTTGACAGACTGTAAAGCTCAAAGAAGTTTCGCAAAGGCTGTTTGTGACATATAGAGACATACGTTGCTGCTTTATAGATCAAAGCAACCTCAGAATAGCTTTAAGATAAATCCAGTTATACTACAGCTGTAATATTATTATGCAGCATAAATCCTTGTCTGTTGACATTTATTTAATGAATGTTGCTACAACAGCTTAGCTAGATGGCACTCCAGAGGCGAGGCAAAGGAAAACCTTGCCAGATCGCTTACAAAGATAACTTGTGTTTATTGGATGTTAATAAAAATAATTAGTAAAAAAAAAAAAACTAAGCAAACCAAACGAAAATCAAAATACCATCTGAACTGATCTTCTGAAATAAATTCTTGGTACAGCTGCTGTAAGATGTTATTATTAATTACATTTTGAATGAAAATGATCAATACGCTGAAAAGCACCTTGTTAAATGGCTACTTTGCAAATGGTACATTGCTCACCGGCTTAAGATGGCCTATAACTTTTCTCATAGGCATGTATCTAAAATATTCATGCAAATCAATGCTTGATAAATCTCATAGGTGCGCGCTGGCTCCACGGTCGAACAACACATTTGGATCGATTTTTTTTTCTTCTGTACTACATTATCTTGGAATAGACCGTCTCTTTTCTCTCTGTAAACATGTGAGCCTGGCGGGTGTGCATTCTGCGTCTCACCGTCGTTTGGAGATTTGCTCTAGCACTTCTAATGTATTTGGAGTATTTAGCGATCTCTTCCTGAAATTAGATCCAGGCAATTTTATTACATTCCCAATGAATGTTACTTTAAGGAGGAGTTCTCAGTGCTTCCTTTAACCGTCCTGAGTTTCTCAAGTGTTCTTACAGATCCTACGTCTTAATTTCTATGTAAGGAGATAGATAAATGTACATCTATATGAGATGCGCCTGAAATTTAAAATTTCCATCTTCCCTTCCCTTCCCTTCCCTTCCCAGGCAATTTTATTACATTCCCAATGAATGTTACTTTAAGGAGGAGTTCTCAGTGCTTCCTTTAACCGTCCTGAGTTTCTCAAGTGTTCTTACAGATCCTACGTCTTAATTTCTATGTAAGGAGATAGATAAATGTACATCTATATGAGATGCGCCTGAAATTTAAAATTTCCATCTTCCCTTCCCTTCCCTTCCCTTCCCTTCCCTTCCCTTCCCTTCCCTTCCCTTCCCTTCCCTTCCCTTCCCTTCCCTTCCCTTCCCTTCCCTTCCCTTCCCTTCCCTTCCCTTCCCTTCCCTTCCCTTCCCTTCCCTTCCCTTCCCTTCCCTTCCCTTCCCTTCCCTTCCCTTCCCTTCCCTTCCCTTCCCTTCCCTTGCTGACCGCAAAATCGAGTACCTTCTTGGGACCGGCAGTGCTAAACGAGCCAAAGCCGCCAAAGTTATTTTGGCGAACTTTTTTTCAGACAGCGCTTACGTTTTTTTTTTTTTTTTTTTTCTCCTCGCTCCGGCTACGTCCTGGGCGGAGACAGTATAAAGACTTGGGTATGACTCGACTGTACTATGTTTTTTTTTTGCAAGGGGCTCTGAAACCCACAGAGGGCCTGTTTTGCTGTAGAGTACCTAAGGAAATAAAACAACCTCAGATCCATGAATCAAGCAAAACTGCACGCTTTCATATTTCTCTAGAGTATAATTAGAGTCCATTTCAATCAATTTTAGGCTTATCTACCCTGGGCTAAAATGGAAATTAAGATATATGCACCTGGTGATTTTTGGTAAAAGCTTTCCCAGGATTCAGCTTGACGTTAGCTGCTATTATAGGAGTGGGGGGGGAAAGGGCAAAAATAAAAAGCTTCATTTTTGCTGGGCCGCTGCTGTGTGTCACCGGACTCCGTGGAACGACACACACCTGACGACAGGATTATTTAAAGATAGAATGGAAATGAAGCGCAGGATGAAAATGTACCTATGCTGGAAGGTCTCTACGTACCGTAGGAAATTTGCTTTCAAATGAAGTGATTATGCACCTTGTCCGACGGCCTCTCAGAGCCTGGAGGGTGACTTGCGCTGTTGCGGAGAGGTGCTGTGGGGCAAGCTGAGCCCCGCTCTTCGCGGCCCTGGCCCGGACCTCTGCCCCCGCCCCTCGCAGGCTGCTCTCTGGGATTTTTGGG